AGCACCATCTCTCATAACCACCTGTGTCCCCCTCCCCACTACCCCCATCTCCCTTGCCAGCATTAACCTATTAACCTCACTGGGCCCCACCTCACTTAGCTAATTAGATCTTGCCAGAAACCATAGAGACAGTGTCAGAAACCCCAAGCAGGAGGTGTCCCTGGATATCAATGACAGCTCACCCCACAGAAAAGATAAATGGATTTGCCAGGGGCGAGCCCAAGCAGTGTGGCTGGTTTAACAGAAGTTCTTTCTATTTTCGTTGGAGGGAATAATGACAATGATGACAATGGTGATAGCAGCACCGAGAATAAGAACAAATGAGCATGCTGACAATTACAAATGGCCAGACATAAGTGAGAGGCGTCATCTGTGATCAGTTCTGGGGAGGACTGCCCTGGTTCCCCGTCCTGGTTTCTCTGTTCTCGGCAAGCACTCCTTTCACTTGCTTTATCTTCTCAGCTGAGCCGTAGAAATCTCTGTGGTTCAATATAAATTATGAGGGTGATGTTGACAATAATAATAGCTCTCATTTGTTGAGTGCTCCGAGCGCCAAGCACTTTTCATGAATTATTTATACTCTTTACAACAATTCTGTGAGGTAGACTAATTGTTATGTTCCTTTTTAGTCAAGGAAACAGAGGCTCAGAGAGGTTAAGTGGCTTGCCCAGGTTTACACAGCAGATAAATAGTTGCCTTTGGATTCAAACCTGGGTCTGCTCGACTCTGAAGCCTGTGCTCACTTCACTTAGTCTCTACCACATAGCTGTGGTCCTGTCTCCTTGTCTAGGCTCTTGACTCTCTGCCTGAATTATTTTGGCCTTTGATGCTACTCTCCAGTCAGCTCCTGAATTGCTTTTTTCCTGCCCTTCCCAGGTGTGCACCACTTCTGTGTCCTGACTTCTCTGCTCAGATGCTCACCTGTCTGGCCCCTGGACACATACAGCACTGGCCTGCTTCTTATTGGTCCACATGGTTCTGATCCAGGGGATTCCTCATCTCAGTGCTCATGGGTTGTTGGCTGGGCCTGACCAGTGAGACACCTGACACTAGGCTTGGCACCCCTAGACTCTGGATAACTGTCCCTCCCCCTGACCCGCCTCACAAGTAGACTCTCCTATATCTTCCAGGCTGGTTCATGATTATAGAAGAATGTTTCCTGGACATTCCAGATGTTAGAGTAATTAAACAAGGAGGCCATTAATTTGAGGTGGCGTTAATGTGTTGTTAGTCAATATAAGCCAGAATCAGTGCACTCAAATCTGAGAAAATGAAACTTAAGAACAACTAATCATAGTCAACTAGGCTTTCCCAAATAAAACAACTGTTTAAGCTATGGCCAATCAACTTCTATCAGATAGTAGGTAAGTCAGTAAATATTTTAAATAACTAATTGAAAATATCAATAATGTCATTATTGGGGTTGGGGGGATGGGTGAAAAAGGTGAAGAGATTAAGAAGTACAAATTGGTAGTTATAAAATGGTCACAAGGATGTAAAGTATAGCATAGGACCCAGCTGGCAAGGCTCAGTGGTTCAGCATCGACCTCTGAACCAGGAGATCACGGTTCGATGCCTGGTTAGGGCACCTGCCTTGGTGCAGGCTCAATCTCCAGTACAGGGCGTGCGGGAGGCAGCCAGTCAATGATTCTCTCTTATCATTGATGTTTCTATCTCTCTCTCCCCCCTCTCCCTTCCTCTCTGAAATCAATAAAAATATATTTAAAAAAATAAAATAAAGTATAGTATAGGGAATGTAGTCAGTAATATTGTAGTAACTATGTATGGTGTCCGGTGGGTAGTTGAAATATTGGTGGGAATCATTTTGTAAAATATATGATTGTCTAACCCAGTGGTTCTCAACCTTCTGGTCCTTTAAATACAGTTTCTCATGTTGTGACCCAACCATAAAATTATTTTCATTGCTACTTCATAACTGTAATGTTGCTACTGTTATGAATCATAATGTAAATATCTGATATGCAGGATGGTTTTAGGCGACCCCTGTGAAAGGGTCGTTCGACCGCCAAAGGGGTCGTGACCCACAGGTTGAGAACCGCTGGTCTAACCACTATGCTGTACACCTGAAATTAATACAAAATAATATTGAATTTACACTGTAATTGAAAAATAAAATTAAAAAAAATAATGCCAGTATTGACAGAAGGAATCTTTTGGAGGGAATACGATGATGCAGATGTCTTCACAGCTATGAGGCTGCGTAAGCAGTTTCCAAATTAACCTCAGAGTAATACTGGGTATCGTTAGCAGTCACTTTTCATGTATGCTGAGGGTCTGACTACTTGAAATGACACGCAATAGTCATTTAGACCATGGTTAGAATTTGGATTCTGAAGTCAACACATAGGGCAAATATCATACATAGGAAAAAATTAACCACAAAAATATCTTAAATCACTCATACAGCACAGATCAGATGGTTTCATGCATTCTGTGCCATCTCGCAGTAAGTTCACCACAGCCAGTTTTTCCCTAGAGTTGGAACAGATGGCCATGGTTGTTTCTTTGGTGAAGCACCAGATGAAGAAGTTGGCTTGAATTGAAGGGCCATATTGTCGGGGGTGGGGGAATCACACATATATGTATATATTCATCTGTATTATTTCCTTTTGTTGAGCATATAGTTGACTTCAAGCAACTTAAATATGTGTGCATGGAGCTCCATCGTACTATTTGATTCTCAGTGTTGTGAAGTGCTCTTTATTGTTTATCATGGAGACAGGAGTAAAGGAGGTGAAAAAAACCCTTTGGGGGCATTGCAATGGCTGGCATAACCAACTAGGAGAATGTCAATCCTAATGATTTTCCAAATTAACCCTTTGAGTGCCAACCAATATCCTAGGAACTATGCTAAAATTGCCAAGGCATTTTTGCTGATTTTACAGCAGTTTAGGAAAAAAATTATGAATCGCAAGTAAATGAAGTTACATATTCAAAAACTTAAGGAAACCTTTACTACATTTGTTTTCATCTTTGACATATATTGTTTGCTGATTGTATTATAAAATACAAGTAGAAAAAAAATTTGAACAAAACATATAATGTTAAAATAGAGGGACACCCTTCTCCAATATCTTCCACAAAATCGTCACCTTCACTGCAAGAATGGACATATTTAGCAATATCATCATCACTAATAAAAGCAGACTTAGAACTGGACACCATTTCGAAGCTTTAGGGCTACAAAATCTGAGTAAACTTCATAAAATCGTAGTATCTGTAAAAAATTAGGCAGATAAATGCCAGTGGTCAATTTTAGAACTACAAACATTCGGCATCATAAGTAATCTGCACTTAGGTGCCATCTGTCAATAAAGAGTGAACTACTAGCATCTAATAGTGACACTGCAGGAGGAGTGCGATCGCGCTCCCGGCACTCTAGGGGTTAAAAAAGCCTTTTATCTAAATTATATACAAGCTCTAAATCTTTACAAAAGAGATTTAGATTTGATACTGTCTTTCAAAGAAAATATTAAAAGTAAATCAACTTGTTTGAAGAGGTTTGGATTATGGTGTTCACTTCATTGGTAGGGCTGGGAAATTAAAAATTCCATTTTGGGGGAACTTACAAGTTACAAACCAACTCACTTAAGAGGTGGAAGGAATTATGGTCACATCTATGTTTCTCTTTTGAACATGTTCTCTACTTAGTGTCTTGTTTTCTACATGGGACACATTCTTTGCTTCAGTCTGGTCCCATTGAAAGACTATTAATATAGCACCATCACTTCAGACCAGCAGCACTGGAATATTCCCTCCCGTTTATGTTTTACACCTCTTCATACGCTTTTTCCTTAGCTTCTTTAGGTATCACAGTTTCTTCCACATCTCCCCCAAGCATACTTAACATAGATCATAATTAATGATGATAATGTTCCCAAATAGATCTAAACCTTCTGTCATTTTCTCTCCTTTTCTTCTCTATCCCCTCTTCTTCAGGAACCTGGCTCTGTCCAACCATGGTGTTCAAACTGGGGACAAAGAACTCCACTTGGCCACAGTGGTAAAGATGGGGAAGGAGCAAGGGGGAGGAGATGTGGCGATTCTGCATCTCACATTTGTAGATGACGGGGGTTCTCGGGAACTTTAAGTAGTTTTTCCCATGTTACCCAACTAGTAAGGACCAGAGCTGGGTGTTAAACCTTGGTCTGTAAGGCTCCCAAACACTATTTCCATTACACCACACTGCTTACCATAAGCAGCAAAATTCCACTGCATGCAGGCATTGGGCAATGATAGGCAGACATTGTGTGAGCAGGTGGAATCATGTATGATTCACTAAATGGATCTGTTAGTGTGACCTTGAAAAGAGAGACCAAAGTAAGTGAAGGACTTTCCTGAGATGATCAATAACATTAATGGCCAGGTTTTACTCTGTGCATGGACTGTGCTAGATGTTTTGAAGGAGACACAAGGCATCCTATAAGACTGTACCCAAGAGACAGTCTAGCTCTAGCTGAAGAGAAAAATTATGCCAGGACACCTTCTGGAAACAGAGAGCACACTAAAAACTGTATAATTAAAGAGAGTTTAAGGGACTAATCTATTTATAAAGGTGTGGGTGAGGTTTAGGGAATTGGAAAAGGAAAATGCAGTACCCAGGGATAAGCAGCAGTGAGATTCTGTTACCCAACCCCCACACATGCAGGGGCCAAGGGAAGCAGCTGAGCAGAGCTGCTGAAAGGGGAAGGGCAACTCCCCTCTCCCAGGAGCTGTGAACTTCAATAGAGAGAAGCATCCCACCTGTGTGACCCATGGGGTGGGAAACACAAAACAAATATCTCAACCTCACTCTTTCTACTCTGCAATCTCCTCCTGGTGATGCTTCCCATGAGCTAACCCGCACCAGAAGCCAGACAGCAAGCATTCATTTCATCCCTGAAGACCAATCTCCCAGGCACTGCAAGGAGTAAAAATGGCTAGAGAGTGAATGTGAAAGGGCAAGTAAAAAATAATCAGTAAATTGGCACACCACTTACGTGTATTGTAGAGGTTGCAAGTGTGTTACTGCAATTAATTTTGTGAAATAGTATCTTCTTTAGGCACCTTCAGTTCACAGTATCATTTTTATAGATCCTGATGTCCTCTGATTCGGTTAGCTTCAAGTATGAAGGGTCCAAATTAAATACTAAAATAGACTGGCTTCCCTGCTCACCCAAAGTGGAAAGCAAGGTGAGATGAAGCCTTCTGAAGAGCGCATTTCAAATGCTTTGCATGAGCAATGTTTTCGCTCCCCCGCCCCCATTGTGTAATTTTATTTCACTCACTCGAATTTTTCTCCATCATTTTTTTATATCTTCCCTTTTCCCATTTTTGCTCTCTCCTTTCCTCCAGTAGAACGGGCTGCTTGGCTCACACCTCCATTAACAGACGCTTGGAAATAATGCACCATGGCAGCTTTTCAAGGATTCTTCCCTTTCCTCCCTCCAGAGAGAAAAACAAAAGGACAAAGATGGCTTCAGGAATTGGATCCCAATGTTGTTTTACTGGAATTTGCAGCTGTTTCTGGATTGCAGAAGTCACGGGAGGGAAACAATGTGCTCAGGGATTGAAGGAAATGGTTTGGCTCCGATTTGTCCCAAGTCATCTGGGGAGGAATTTTTCCATTGTTACGGAGGTGCACTCAACAGAGATTTCGCATCTCTCCACAGAGGGTGTGTGTGTTGGGCAGAAGCATAGGAAAGAAACATATGACAGAAGCAAAGAGGACAAAGGCAAAAATAACTGACCTTTCTCAGGGCAGAAACCATTCTGTGGGCTGCGTCTCAGATGTGTAGCTCCTGAATGGTTCATCATTTATTTCCAAGAGCCTGAGGCCTACAGTAAGTCGATGAGATTGCCATTTTCACCCAACAAACAAAATAAAGACTGGAATTACATAGGCAGGTGGATCTAGTTGAATGAATGAGTGAAAACAGTCCAGTGGCAGATTTTCAAATGAATATTTATGTAGGAGGTTCATTGTAGCTTCTCTTCAATGGTGAAAGGTTTGATTTACATGCTTGAGTATTGTTGGCTCTACAGATTGACAAATAAATTCATATGTACCTTTGCACTCATAATGAAAGGGCGAGGGCTACGCCCTCCATCTTGCCCTGAATCCTCCATTTTTGGGCAGAGCCATGTGCTCAGCAAGGAGCTTCTTCCCGGAAGAAGCCCAAGCCTCTGCTAGCCACACCTAGGATTTCTTTAAACTAACCAATGATAATCAAGGGAAGTGCGCGCCATAGATACGACCACATCCTGTGTAACGAGACACCGACTTGTACCTGGCCAATCGGCAGGGCCCACAGTCCTCTCTCCTCCCCTTACTATAAAACCCCTCTCCCCACAGGGCTGGTCTCTCTGCCACTTGCCACTGCGTCAGTAAGGAGGGTAGGGGAGCCAAACCCGGGTTTGAATAAAAGACTCTCTGCTTTTGCATCAGACTCGGCTGGCTCCCTGGTGGTCTTTTGGGGATCCTGAAATCTGGGCTTAACAATATGTATGTATTACTGGTAGTATTTACAAAAGCTTCTGAAACTCTGTTTTCCTCTCCAGCTACTATCCCTGCCATAGATCCTGTAATCTCTATGGAGGGAGCCTGTAGAACAATCAGCAATTAGACCAAGATCAGTGTTGGGAAAATTAGACAGGTAAATACAAAAAAAGAAAAAGAAAAAAAAGAAAGTAGACCATAAACTTACCATTTGTATGTCCTCTTTAGAGAAGTATCTATTCAGGTCCATACACCATACACAAGAATAAATTAAAAATGGATAAAGACTTAAATGTAATTTGTGAAACCATTAAAATCCTAGAAGAAAACACAGGCAGCAAATCTCAGACAACTGACATAGCAGAATTTTTGCTGATACATCTCCTAAGTCCAGAGAAACAAAGGGAAAAATAAATAAATGGGACTACATCAAACTAAAAAGCTTCTGCACAGCAAGAGAAACCAGCATCAAAATGAAAAGGGATCCCACTATCTGAGAGAATATATTTGCCAGTAATACATCTGATAAGAAGTTAATTTCTAAAATATGTAAAGAACTCATATAACTCAACAAAAGGAAAACAAACAACCCAATTTAAAAATGGGCAAAGGGCCCAGCCGGCATTGCTCAGTGGTTTAGCATCAACTTATGAATCAAGAGGTCATGGTTCCATTCCTGGTTGGGGCACAAGCCCAGGTTGTGGGCTCAATCCCCAGTGTGGGGCATGCAGGAGGCAGCCGATCAATGATTCTCTCTCATCATTGATGTTTCTAGCTCTCTCTCCCTCTCCCTTCTTTTCTGAAATCAATAAAAATATATTTTTTTAAATGGGCAAAGGACCTGAATACATACTTCTCTAAAGAGGACATACAAATGGCAAGAGACATATGAAAAAATGCTTAATGTCACTAACATCAAAGAGATGTAAATTAAAACTACAATGAGGTATCACTTCACACCTGCCAGAATGGCTACTATCAATAAATCAACAAACAACAGGTGCTGGAGAGGATGTGGAGAAAAGGGAACCCTAGTGCAGTGCTGGTGGGATGCAGACTGGTGCAGCCACTATGGGAAACAGTATTGACTTACCTCAAAAAATTAAAAATGAAACTGCCTTTAACCCAGTGATCCCACTTTTAGGGTTATATCCTAAGAATTCCAAGACACCTGTCAGAAAGAATATATGCATCCCTATGTTCATAGCAGTGTTATTTACAATAGCTAAGATGTGGGAAAAGCTAAAGTACCCATCAGTAGATAAGTGGATTAAAAAGCTGTGTTACATTTACACAATGGAATACTATACAGCTATAAAAAGAAGGATCTCTTACCCTTTGAGACAGCATGGAGGGACCAGGAGATTATTAACTAAAAGAAATAAGCCAGTAAGAGAAAGACAAATATCACATGATCTCACTTACATGTGGAATCTAATGAACAAAATAAAATGACAAACCAAATAGATCCAGAGGCATGGATACATGGAATAGACTGAAGAATCTCAGAGAAAAGGGGGGAAATGGACAAATTTGGGAAGAGATTAACCAAAGAATTTATATACATACTAGGGGCCCAGTGCATGAATTTGTGTACCTTGAAAGGAACTATGGGCCACGAGGCTGTGGTGGGCATAGGGGTGGGTCTCAGCCCATCCTCCACGTCCCGGCCCCTGCCAGGCCCATCCCACCATGGCCCCCAGTCCCCTGTCTGCTGGCAGCCCCGCTCCTGCTGCTCCCACGTGCTGACGACGCTGGCCCTGCTCGTACCTGCTGATGGTGTGGAGCGATTGGGGCCAGAGCCAGCAGCAGATGAGAGCAAGGCCAGCGCCATCAGTGGGTGTGAGTGGCAGCTGCTGCCCAGGTTGCCTCTCAGGAGCAGGGGAAGGTGTAGAAGCTCTCAGGGGTGATTGGGGCCAGCAGCCATTGCTCGCACCCGCTAATGGCGCCGAGCAATTGGGACCAGCGCCGGGCACTGGCAGCGGGTGCGAGTGGCGGCTGCCAGCCCCAATTGCTCCTCAGGAGCAGGGGGAAGTGGAGAAGTTCTCAGGGGCAATTAGAGTCAGTGCCGGGCGCTGGCAGCAGGTGCAAGCAGGGTGAACACCAGCAGCAGGTGCGAGCGTCCAGCCGGAGCAAAGAATTTTCAGTAACCACCAGAGGCTCACCCTGATGGCAGTGACCAGTGCCCTGCCTTGGTCTGGTGCCCCTGCTCACCTGCTCCACCATCCCAACACAGCCAATGCCTGCCATGTTCCACACTCTGCTGCCTGCTGCTGACGCTCACCATGTTCCACGCACCTCCTCCCCCCCCACCCCCCGGTGGTCAGTGCACATTATAGTGACCGGTTGTTCGGTTGTTCCACTATTTGGTCTATTTGTATACTAGGGTTTTATATATATAGATATGCATTGCCCACGGTCACAAACAATAGTGTGGTGAAGGCCTGGGGTGGGGTAGGAACCAGGTGGAGGGAGGCAATGGGGGGAAAGGGGAGACATCTATAATACTCTCAGCAATAAAGATTTAAAGAAGAATATAATTTAGTTTCGAAATTTTGTGATACTTACATTTATTAGCTTTTTACAATTTATACTTTGTTGTGACTGTTTCTCATTCTAAAAAATATCTACATTTCTACTTATATTCATATTCCAAATTCTTATTGATTTTCCTAATGAGGGCTCCAAATAAGTTTTTTTCCAGGCCCCACAGGGATCTTACCCTGGTTACAACCACGTACTGCCTAGGAAAAATGTTTGCAAGTATTAAAATGAGGTTTTTATATCTTTAGATCAAGGACTATTGACAACATGTCAGAATAATGAATATGTGTATCATAATCTAAGTGCTTTCTAGTCAGGTAAATTAATAAACCTGTAAAAATACCTCAAAAACAAAACAAAACCCAGTGTGGTATATACTAGGTAATTATCAACAAATGATAATTACTAGCTATTATTATGATAGCTTATATTATAAACTATTAAGAAAAGGTCTTTATGTAACATCTGTGTAATACCACATGTAAAAAGACACTTTATAAAGCATTTTGATGATGATGGGATTACTATTGTTTTATAACATTTTTTTATTAAAGTTATTAGGCCCACATCAAATGGGTACTAGCCTCTCTTTGCAAAATAAGGACCTGCTAGCAAATCTTTTAGTTGTGGAAGAGAGGGCATTAAATGGAAAAAGGCCAATTTTATTAATGATTATGTTGACACTAAAATACATTTTAATTTTAGCCCTAGCCAATGTTTCTCAGTGGTCAGAGTGTTGGCCTGCACACTGGAGGGTTGAGGGTTTGATTCCCAGTCAAGGGCATGTACCTTGGTTGCAGGTTTGATCCCTAGCCTGGGTCAGGTGCTTGCAGGAGGCAAGCAATCTCTCTTTCTCTCTTTCCTCTCCCTCCCTTCCACACTCTCTAAAAAAATCAATGAGGAAAATATCCTCAGGTTAGGATTAACAAATAAATAAAAATAATTTAATTCATATGATTCAAAGAGGATTAAAATATAAATCTATTTTCTTTCTTATCAATGGCCTTTGTACCATTGAAGATACCTGCAAAAACTGTTGCCTCATTTGCTTGCAAAATTTCCTACCTAAGCATATCATAATGTCAATGAATTCGAAGTCTCCCAGGCTGGATTCTTAATTGAAGAAACCTATGGTTAGAATTTTAAGTGTTAGCACCATCACTAGTGATAGTGATGTGGCAATGATTATCTATACTAATAGCATAGGGCAGTGATGGCGAACCTATGACATGCGTGTCAAAGGTGACACGCAAACTCATTTTTTTGGTTGATTTTTCTTTGTTAAATGGCATTTAAATATATAAAATAAATATCAAAAATATAAATCTTTGTTTTACTATGGTTGCAAATATCAAAAAATTTCTATATGTGACACGGCACCAGAGTTAAGTTAGGGTTTTTCAAAATGCTGACATGCTGAGCTCAAAAGGTTCGCCATCACTGGCCTAGGGCCCTCACGACCTAAACAACCAGATGGATGACCAGGAAGTGTATGGAGCACCTCTCGGTCCCTCCCCCATGGCCCACAAGGCTGGTGGCAGGCGGGCAGGGTGGTGGTGGGGGGAGGGGGGGCGGGTGGGCAGGGTGGGGTGGGTGTGGCGAGGTTGTTACGACCTCGCCGCTGCCACCGTGGCTGTGGATCAGGCCCAGAGATAGACCCGGAGAGAAAGGCAGGGCCTGATCAGGTCTGGAGAGAGACAGCTGTCAGCAGCAGTTCCGGATTTCCCAGAAGAGCCAATGGCTGCCTAGGAGACAGAGCTTTTGACGCTGACTGGCATAGAAACCGACCAATCAGAACCAAATCAGGGTGAACTGCGAGGAGCCAATGGCTGCCTAGGAGGTGGAGCTTTTGACACTGACTGGCATAGAAATTGACCAATCAGAACCTAATTTGGGTGAACTGCAAAGGCAGAACCTAAGGTGGGGGCTGAGGAGGGGTTTTAAGGGCAACAGCTGTTTGGTGTAAGGTGTAAGGAAGCGGTTCAATTTTTTAATAACCGGTTTGATAGTATAGTGCATATGGCTGGCTCTCAGTCCAGATATAGGCATTATGTATTTTTGTCTGCAAAGAGCATCTCCTCCTGCTGAAAAAGGTTTCTCCC